GACTTTAGTGAAGACCATCTCCAATCCTATGGGGAACAAGGCCAAATATTTTGCAAGAGCACAAGAAGCTGTGAGGAAGGATGTCGAAAGATTTTTTGGTGTATTTCAGTCTAGGTTTGCCATTATAGCACATCCAGGTCGCATTGGGGATGAGAGACACTAGCTTTGATCGTGAGGGCTTGTGTTATCATGCACAATATGATTGTTGAAGATGAAAGAGTTCTGGACCCTGATGAGCGGTTCCCGGATGCCCCAAATGATAATGTGCAACCTTCCCATGGGACGCCCACTCGCACACTGACTGAATTTATTGAAGCCAGTAAAAAGATTAGAGACAAGCCAACACATTTTCAGTTGAAAGAAGACCTCATCGAGCACCTTTGGAATTGTCATCCTGATTTATACCCCATGGAACCGGCATCATGATTTGTAATCACCATAATATTATTTGCCATAGTGTTTTAATTCAAGTGTAATAAACATTTTTATTAGTGTTTTCAGTGAAGTGTAACGAACATATTTCATGATGAATTATTAGTATGAATTCTTGCTGTGGAGTGTACTAGTTTGCGCCAAATCTCACATCATCAATGATGAGCAGCAGTACCAAATAATTAGTATGAATTCTTGCTATGGAGTGTACTAGTTTGCGCCAAATCTCACATCATCAATGATGAGCAGCAGTACCAAATAATTTATAACTGCACAAGCATCTCGACAGCAGGCACTACGCTAAATCTAATTTTCCGCGTGTCGTGCAAGGATCTTCTTCCTCATAATCTGAATCCACTGCAACTGTTGGTCGTCGAGGGAGCTCGTGTCCGCAAGCATTATGTCTTTCTCCTCCTTCATTAGGGTTGCTTCAGCAAGTTTCTTCTCCGCCTCAATTGAATCCTTGTCTACCTGTGCTGTAGCCTCTCTCGCCTTTTCTCTTTCCTTGTCCCGTGCCTCCTTCTTCTCCATCATCTTGTTCAACGCTACAATACTAGCGTCGTTGCCTCCCCACTTAGCTTTTTTGCCTCCTTCTCGACCGGTGGCCTCTTACGCTCTGCGGAACTCTGCGTGCTGGAACCTCTAGTCCTTCAAAGATTGTTCTTTTTCGTCCCTCGTGCTCGGCGTGGAGTCCTTGGAACTCTTACATTTTTTCTTAGGGGCTTGTTTTCGCCCGTACCTTGTTCAAGCCTCCATGACTTCCACTTGTCTTCATCCTTGAGCTTGTACCAGCAATGCATAAAAGCAAACGACTTATGCTCATCGTCGTCTGCCGTGTAGGTCTCCAAAGCATCATTAATCTGCACAATTGAAAATAAGAAAAATGTTTGAATGTGTAAACTTAACCAAATATTTAACAAGTACAAAATAACCAACTCTGAAAGCGTACCATGTCTTGGATAGTCTTTCCACTAGCATTCCTACGAAGAATCTTGTCATAGGCTGAACAGAACTTGTTCACTTCCTTCTGAATAGTCCCCCACCTATGCATAATTGAATTTTCTGTCCTAGCAGCTTCAGTTTTTTTATGTTCATCAAAGTATGCACGAACTCGACCCCAGAATGTTGCTTGCCTTTGATTTGCCCCATGAATAGGATCCTTGCTTACCTTACACCAAGCTACGCATATTATTTTGTCTTCCTCTTGATCAAATTTTTTAGACCTATGTGACAGATTTTTCCGAGCACTACGGGTAGCACCTACTTCGGTTGGATCCACTAGGGAAACATCTTCTTGAGATTCATGAGGCATAGCATTACTATTTGCCTGGCTTTGTGGACTTAGTGTAAAGGGCAATTCGTTTAAGCCAGGAATATGTTCAGAATCAGCTGCGAGTATGCCTGTATAGAGTTCAAGGTCATCCATTTGAACGAATCTACAAAATAGGATAAAATAAATGGAGTCGTCAAGACATATCAGACAATGAATATACTACATAAATCTTTTTTGAAAAAATAATGTGTATACTTCATCATGATCTATTCAATTTTGCAAGTTCTAGATCAAAGTGGCATCAAGCAAAATGCTGCAAACAACAACACAGAGTGTAATTGGCTAAGCTACTGGAATCAATCAAAGTTCAGTTGGCTAATAGTGAAACTACATGAGTTTCTGAACACAGATTGAACAGAACAAGAGCCCGAGCTATGCCTATGTTGTGCAGTGCTGTGCCTTTTTTTGTTTCTGAACGCCAAATCATCGTATATTGATCAGTTGCCCTAGGAACATGGCTGCCATGATCCAACCCCCAAGCCGCCAAGAGCAGTACCCAACAACTGCAATACCCAATCTCATGATCCAATCCCCAAGCCGCGCCAACAGCATCCCAACCCCCAAGCCGCCAACAGGAAAACCCTACATATTGCGTTGAGATGAAGTAGGCGTACCTGACCGGCTGCTTCGTCCTATCGAAGAACCTGGCGAAGGAGGACGCGATCGTATCGAGCGCGCGAACCTGGCGAAGGAGTACGCGATCCTTGGCGTCGCGAGCTGCTGTTGAAATCGCGATATCTGGTGGCGGCGCGAAGGGAGCCGCGCGAAGGGAAAGAAAAAAGCCCGCGAGGAGGAACCGAGAAGCCCGGGATGTCTATTTGCATAGCCGGACTACTTTGGCATATATGCCAAGTTTCCCCCTCCAAATGCATACCTATGTAAAATGCAAAGTCCAAATGCATAACGATTGGAGGGGTTTTTTTTGGAGTTTTATGCATTTTGGTAAATGCCAAGCCCAAATGCATAATGATTGGAGATGCTCTTACCCAACTAATTAGAAAGTATCATGCACGCGACAGAGGGAGTACTTTATATTTGAGATGAAATTGAGGAAGTATATATTTGGATGACCAGTCGAATTCATAGTACAAATTTCAGATTATTAATAACTTTTGTAAGTGTGAAATTAAAGAAACTAGAGAATTGACAGCTTCGATCTTTTGCATCTCGAGAACGAAATAGACCCCGCAATTATTGGAGACGACGACGAGACGTCTGAACAGCCACTGCGTTCTCAGATAAATGCCGAAACACCTTTTTATTGGTGCACAAGTACAGTTAATCATGAACGGGAACATGAGCCATTAGCTACCGACCAATCCAGTGTGTGTTGGCAATATGATGCTCATCAGTGCATCACGTGCTGCGCCTGCGTGAGATCGATCGATGAGATGGTGCATCAAGTATCAACGACGACATGGACGCTAATGCGGTTGTTGCATGCGTTTGTTCATGTGTCATCTCTGATGATGGACACCTAGCCACCCTCGTCACTTGCCAGATTTACGTGTCCTCAGCTCAGCTCAGCTCAGCTCGTGGTATGCGTGCAGCTAGTTCAGTTAGTCAACTGTCCACGTGCACAATTGTGTTTTCCTGGTGATGGTTAGCAAGCCACATGTGCAGTCACAGGGGCCTTAGTGTTGATGTCAATTGCCATGCCAATGGTAGGACTTATTTTCTTCACATTACTCAGGTTCCATATTTTCATTTATGGACAGAAGTTAAACTATGAATGAACTCAGGCCGTTACTTTATTCTTTTTTCCTTTTTTTTACAGAAATACTGTATAATACACATGTGTTTTAGAAAAAAAAACACATGATTTTTTTCCCTCTCTCTCTTTTCAACTGTCTTCTCATCACCCAGATCACAGAAAGCAAAAGGTAATAGAACTGGCAAAAGTCGCAGCGTCTACGTGTAGTAAGACCGGACTGGCCCGACACGTACGTACCGGCGAGGTCTGCAGATGAGCCGCGACACGTACGTACAAAAGGGACCCGATTTGTCATTTTGTTCTAGCATAGAATTTTTTTTTCTTGGGATCTATAGATCTGTGATCTTGTGATTGTCTAGAGGTAAAAGAATGCTGGAGGTAGAAGAAAACTGGAGGTAGAAAGAGGATGGAGGCTGTTATATCTTAATTCTATGGTGCAAAAAAATTCATGTGTTGAAACCATATAAAACACATAGTTGTTGGGTAGATAGACTCTTTTTTTTTTAAAGGAAGTGAGCTTAGCTCAATTGGTTGGGTGAGAGGTATGACAATGCACCCAACCACCCAGGTTTAAATCCCCTCTTGGACTGAATTTGGGTGCATATTTCTCTTCTTAATGAAAAACCACCTTGTTTTTTTTTACTTTATTCTTTTTTTTTATTTTTGGAAAGATAGAAGAATTTCTTAGGAAACCGGACTCGGAAATCTCTAGCTCTGGATTAGGTCCGTTACTCGTTGGGCCACCACTCGTTGGGCCAACATGGATTCATCCTGCTGTTACGGGCCCAGCCCAACTACTCCCGACTAGTGCAGTTCCGGCCCACCATCATCGAGAAGCCCACCAGACGATCGCTGCTTGGTGTCGTGCGCCGAGCAGCGTGGCGCGCATGGTGTCCCGAGGCAACGGTCACGTCGCCGCGCGGCCACAGCCCGGACCAGCCGTTGGAGCCGACCCCACATGTCATCCGCAGAAAAAAATCCATGTTTGTTCTTGCGTGCTCTGCTCGGCCGCCTCCTGGCGTCGTCTCCCCTCTGTCTTCCTCCTCCTCCCTGGCCTTCCTCCGCTTCCTTCTCCGCCACCTCGAACACCCCAAAAATAATTTTACCGAAAAAATTTCCGCTCGAAATTTTTTTTCCTCAACGAGAGAGGGGGAAAGCAAACCCTAGCTAGCCGGATTCCGCCGCGCGCGGCAGGCATTGCCCTCCCTCCCGCGACTCGCGCGCGCCGGGAGCTGGGGCGGGTGCGTGCGTGGCGCGCCCGATCGCCGGGCAGTCGTCGTGTCGCGTCGTTAGCCGGCGGCGCTGGCGGGTGGGCGCTGGGTCGGCGGCGGCGGCGGCGAAAGCGGGCAGCACCGGACCTCCCGGTCATCGCTGGCGCCGCCGCCGCGGTCTGCGGGCTGGCTGGCCGCGGGCAAACGCGCCGTCGGCTGGTCCCGGGCATCGCGGAGCAAGTGGACCCGGGGGCAGGCCGCCGGAGACGGCGGCGGCGACGGCGACGGCGGCGCACGGAAGCGCAAGGGCATGGCGCTGTTCCGGAGGCTCTTCTACCGGAAGCCGCCGGATCGGCTCCTCGAGATCGCCGACCGCGTCTACGGTACGGTTAACCCCGCCCGCGCCTCCTCTTCGAGTGCTGACACCGAATCACCGAATTGGGGAATTTAGGGGTGTGTGCAATGGGCAGTTCTATTGATTTTAGCACCGGAAATGCAGCTGCATTCTGTAATTTCGCTCAGTGCCGGAACAATTTCCTCTAAATATTGTTCTCAGGCTTTCAGCTGACATTGTCTTCCTTGTGCATGCTGCATTAGCTTACGGTGCAGGCATGATTTTGCGGCCCCATTCTAGTTTCGTTACAACTATGCTTCTCAAATGTTTGGAAACATGATTGATCTAATTAAGTTTCACATGAGTAGAGATACTGATTGGCATCTTTGTGTTGTAGACTTAGGAGTATTCAATTGTTTGCTGACGAGTTTTCAGTAGTGCAGTTAGGTCGCAAAAAAAAAAGTAGTGCAGTTAGGTGACTTTAGTAGGACTAACATGACAACTCTCATGCATTTATGCTTTGAGTATGTAGGACCAAGGCTATCATGTATTGATATGCTACTTCCATAGCCCTGTATCAGAAAATTTTGAATGGGTGGCTTCTGGCCTTGCACCATACTGCTATGATGTTTACAGACAATGTCAAATTAAGTCTGACATTAATGTGCAACGATTGGCCTGTTTGTGCTTGCAGTATTTGATTGCTGCTTCTCGACAGAAACCATGGACCAATACAGATACAAGAATTACCTGGACAGCATTATTTTGCAGCTCCGTGAACAGTTTGCAGATTCTTCATTGATGGTTCTCAACTTCAGAGATGAAGGAAAAAGTCTTATTTCAGGCATTTTCTCCAAGTACAATATTACAGCCAAAGACTACCCTTGCAAGTATCTAGGATGCCCGTTACTTCCTTTGGATATCATTCTCCACTTCCTGAGGCTGAGTGAAAGGTGGCTTATGCTTGAAGGGCAGCAAAATATTCTGCTAATGCACTGTGAGAAAGATGGATGGCCAGTTTTGGCATTTATGCTTGCAGGTCTTCTTCTGTACAGGAAACAATATAATGGGGAGCAAAGAACTCTAGATATGGTGTACAAGCAAGCCCCTAAGGAGCTTCTTCAGATGCTAACCACATTGAATCCACAACCGTCTCATCTTCGATATCTTGGGTACATATGCAGAATGGATGATGACATAGGGTGGCCTACACAACCTATTCCTTTCACCTTAGATTGTGTAATTCTTAGAGAAATTCCAAATTTTGATGGAGTCGGTGGTTGTCGGCCAATTGTTCGAGTATATGGGCAGGATATTCCAACAACTGACAAAAGTCATGGTGTCTTTTCACCACCATCAAAGGCCAAAAAACATATTAGGCGTTACAGACAGGTACCATCAAGCATATTTTTTATCTAAATGGTTCTGCTATTTATTCAAGTTACTCGTTAACTATTTTTGCAGGCAGATAATGCGCCAGCGAAGTTAAATGTTGGATCCTGCGTCCAAGGTGATGTTGTCCTTGAATGTCTGCATGTGGATGATGGCCGAGGAAATGAAAGGTTAATGTTTAGGGTGATGTTCAATACCTTTTTCATCCAGTCTCACATTTTAATGTTGAACTTTGAGGACATCGATGTCCCCTGGGATGCCGATCACCAGTTCACAAAGAACTTCAAAGCAGAGGTAGGCCATGATTTTTCATGTATTCATGTGGCAATTCGTCACCAACTATGTCAATGTTAATTGTGGGTGCATGCCTGAACCAGGTACTCTTTTCAGAGTTTGATGCTGAGTCTGATACATCCACTGAAGTAGCACCTGATTATGATTATGATGATGATATGGATGTTGCCTCTGCTGACGAGTTCTTTGAAGCAGAAGAACTCTTCAGTAATGCTGATTCCCAAGAAGGAAATAAGGATGCTGATACTCTTTCTATAGCCTCAACAGATTATACTTCAACTCCAAGTGCCGAACGTTGGAAAAACTCACCATTTTCCGACTTTGAGCTGAATATTGGCATTGATGGATCGCGAGACAATAAAGCCGATAACTTGGGCTTGTTGTTAGAAACAGTAAATGATGGAAAGACATGCACATCCACTGAAGCCAATACTATGCTCAACAATGAAACTGCAGTTGTTAAGTCAACTTTGGCAGCTACAATAGATGGAGACGCAGATAGCGGCATTTCAAGTTCTTCTACTTATAAAGAGGATGGTTTGTTTGAAAAGGGTAGTTCCAAGCAGGATATAAGGATGGGTTCCAATCAAGACTTGGGTCAGATTGATAATGTGTTGGTTAAGGAGGTGATTATATTAGAAACTAATAGTCCTAATGACATACAGATGATCAAAGAGGTCATCATATCTGAAGTTACAACTCCCAAACAGGTAGTAGACGGGAATATGATGGAAACTGAATTAGATGAGACAGTCCACGATTCAGAAAGCATTGCATTGGCAGAAGCTGAGGATACAAAACAACTCAATATTTTTTGCAAACAGGACGAGGGACACAGTGTGCGAGATGAATATGCTGCTCATGGCAATGGCATAGTGATTGAACAAGAAGAAAGCAGCAACGAAGAAAAACTTACCATCAGAGACACAAATTCAGAAGTGACTGAACCCACAGATGAGAATAATGGGTTGGAGCTTCCATTATCAGGGATACCACATGTGCACTGTTCAAGCACTTCTTCGGGACTAAGTTTTGCCAAGGAAAATATTGATCAGCTTCATGCTTGCAGTAGTAATGGCACTGCAGAACAAAGGGCGGGAATTGACTCCAGGAGCCACTCTTCTAATATCTCTTGTGTGAACATTCTACCAGAAGAATCTAGCTTGACAATAAACCATGCTTCAACTTCCATGAATGCAAATACAGATACAACCGATTCATCTCGATTGGTGCTAAAGAAAAAACCTTTTCAACCATTGTTGACATCTAGTCTTTTTGCTCCATCATCTCCCAGGCGCAATCTGCTTCGTGCTGCATCCACAGATTTGTCCTTTTTTCCTCCATCACAAACAGAATCTAAACAGAACTCTGTTACTTCTACAAGCGGAAGGGATGATCCAGCTACATCTTCTGTGCTTCCACCATCTCAACGCTACACAACCCTGGGATCATCATCCAAAATTTCTCTAGTACATCCTCCTCTACGACCGATAAGAACGGTTTCATCTCTACCTTCATTATCATTTGATGCATATATAGAGATGTCAATGTATTCTTCAAGATCGCCCAAACACCAAGAGCATGCTAAACCTCCCTCAATACCACCACATCGATATCTTCACCCACCAATGACAGAGGAAAATGATCTACATTCAGGTAGTCTAACTTTGCCTGCTTCTAACAAATATGCCCCTCAACCCCCATACCCACCTCCACTGCCACCTCAACATGATTCTTGCACCCAAAGTTGTTCGAGCACCCTAATATCTGAACATGAGCAAATAAGAGCTGATGGGTCTTGTTCCTTTAGTCCAGGTTGTAGACAAACTGTTCTCAACTTAAGCGATTCCTCGGTAACTTCACCCTCTAAAAGTAGTATAGCTGCAACAGAATGTCCCTTAGGAGCCTCTGATTTCGTAGATGAGAAAGTAACATGTAGACCTAATATAGTAACTGGCATGGATTTCCCAATTACTAATGAAGATACAAATTCCCTGTTGCACATGTTGACTTGTTCTTCACCTCCCAAAACATTACAACATGGTGAACCACTACCGCCACCGCCACCTTTGCCTCCAGTACCACCACCATCACAATTACCACTGCCAACTATATGCAGTGACAGTGGATCAGTTCCACTGGTATACTCAAATCCATCTTCAGATTGTCCATATAAAGAACCAGCAATGCTACCAGAACACAAATCTGCTGTTCCATCTACTTCTCTCGAAGGACATGAAGCAAGTGAAGTTCGATTGCTGCAATCTGATATTACTGTTGAGTTATCTTCATCAGAACATTCTGAGTATACAGTTCAGCATGTGTTTGGAAGCAGTGAAGATACAATTTCAAATATCTCATCCTCTATACCCGCAGCACCTCCATATCCAACGTTTCATATTGTAACAGATAATTCCTCAGGTTCAATATCTGCAGAGCAAGTAATTTGTGAGCAGCCTTTAGATCAAACGACATTATCCATTCATTTGAGGCCATTCAAGGTGGAGATATCACAAAATGAAATAATCAACAGAGTCTTGGCCTCTATAACTGATGATAAAGAACATGGAGGCATTACAATTCCACCGTCGCCACAAAAGTTGCCTCAGCCTAGAGAACATATGAAACCTCCATCTCCACCACGACCACCACCTTGTCATGCAACACTTGTACCTTCTTTGTGCTTATCTTCAAATCCACCTTCTCCAAGAGAACGTTATGAAAATCCACCTTCTGCTTCACCTCCACCTTTTCCTAGGGAATCATTTGTTGCTCTACCTCCACCTCCAGCTCCACTCCCTAATCATCCATCTCTTCCTGGAAAACATATTAATCCATCTCCACCTCCACCTCCTCCACCTAGAGAAAATGAAGCACTTTGTCCTTTGGTTCTACTTTCACCTACAAGACATGTTATACCTCCACCACCAACTTTACATCATATAGCAATCCAACCTACCCTTTCAGAGGACATTGTAATAGTTTCACCTTCGCATTCAACAGCGGTTAATATAATTCCATTGCCACCACCTCCTCCTAGAATGAATGAAATTTTGCCTCAACCTCTTGTGGGTGGACAATCGACATTGCCAGCTTCTCTTCTTGAAGTTACTAAAGAAATCCCACCTCCTCCTATCCTTCCCCCTGAGGGACAAAGGGGATCTCCATTGTCTACTCTTTGTGGAGGAATTGTGAATATTCCATTACCTCCACCTCCACTTCCTGGAGGACATGGAGAAGTTCCACTATCAACTCCTCCTAGAGGATGTGGGGCCATTCCACCTCCACCACCCTTTACTAAAGGGCTAGGAGGAATTACATTGCCAATTGGATTTCACAGTGGAGATTTGTCATTCCTCCAACCTACCAGAAAATCTGAAAGTCCTTCATGCCTGCCACCTCCACCGCCACCGCCACCACTATCTTCCAATGGACACATAGGAGATCCTCCTCCTCCTCCACCACCACCACCACCTATGAGTGTATTTGTAGAGGCTCCGATCCCGCTGCCACCTCAAACAGGATGCAGAGGGGCTCCACCACCGCCACCACCTCCTGGAGGACATGTAGGGCCTCCACCACCACCGCCACCTCTTGGAGGATATGCAGAAGCTCTAATGCAACCACCACCTCCTGGAGGATGTGTAGGGGATCCACCACCACCGCCACCTCCCGGAGGATATGCAGGAGCTCCACCGCCGCCACCACCTCCTGGAGGATACATAGGAGCTCCACCACCACCGCCTCCATATGGAGGAATTGGAGGAGCTCCTCCTCCTCCACCACCCTTTGGAGGACTAGGAGGAACTCCACCGCCTCCACCTCCAGCAGGGTTTCGAGGTGGAGCTCCAGCACCACCTCCTCCTGGAGGTCATGGAGGTCTGCCACCTCCTCCTAGAGGACATGGAGGAGTAGGTGGCCCCCCTCCCCCTCCTGGTGCACCTTCTCCTCCAATGCCTCCTGGAATGCCTGGTGGCCCCCCTCCTCCTCCAGGTGGAAGAGGGATGCCTACTCCACCCAGTGGAAGAGGACATGGCCTTGCTCGCTCATTAGGCCCGACATTACAAAGTGCAGTACGAAGGTCATCTCTAAAACCATTACATTGGGTCAAAGTAACAAGGGCAATGCAAGGAAGCTTGTGGGCAGAGCTACAAAAACAAGTGGACGCTAATAGGTACTATCAACTGTCAAATAGTTTCTCCACCTTTTAACTAGATTCATAATGGAAAAGGCTCTGATGATAAATGTCATCATGAACTTAATTCAATTCCCACATATTTACTTAATTTGAATCCCATATTTTTTTACTGATTGTAGATTCTAGTGGCATTCAATGCATTTTCTCATCTTATTACTATTCTAACTGGTAATATGATCAATGCAGCCGTGCTGAATTTGATGTAAATGAACTGGAGTCTCTGTTTACTATTGCTCCAAAGACAAAAGCTGGCTCAAAATCAGAAGGCCGTGGAAAATCTCTTGGAACAAAATCTGATAAAGTTCAACTGGTAATTTACTAAGCACGATAGACAAGCCAATAGCCAATCTTGAGTTTCATGTACTTCCTTTTTTTGTTAACAGTTGCATGGAAGTATATTTCCTTTTATAAGTTTGTTTCCCTTTTGGTTAATTACTTTTTGTAGCCAACCAGCATTGCATGGTCTATGATACCGCATAATACATGTAAGGTTATGCTCAGATCCTAAACAGGCTAAACTAAGGCCACCTTGCCAAGTTTCCCCCAGTGACATGAGTCATAGAAAAGTGTGCGAATATGAAAAAAAAAATCTCGAATATGCAGGAGAGCTGCATATCATTGCATTAAGAAGAAGAGAACTTCAAGAGCCTTTTTCATGGCCTAAACTTGCTTTTTGTTCATTTGGTGTAAATAAGTCAATTTCAACAATATTGGAGTATCCATGCCAATTACGAGTTATGATTAGTGGATATCTTATTCTATTGCATCTTCTATTCCTAGGGTCTAAGATAGATATGCATGAAAAGTCCAATCCATGCTTCTTTTAGCGGCGACTCTGGATTCCATATTTACAGTTCTTTTTAATACTTTAGCTCAAAATATACTCTTTTGGCACTAACATGCTGGCATTAAAGTTGCTTTTTTTTAAAAAATAATGTTACCTTGCAATAGAAATCCTTTACATGTGTTATTATTTTATTTAAAATTCTGTTGGCGTCTTTGAAAAATCCACAGATCGATCTAAGACGGGCCAATAACACAGAGATCATGTTGACAAAAATCAAAATGCCGCTCCCTGATATGATGGTAAGTATATTTTGACCAGCAATGTGTCTATGCCACTTTGCATTCTTGAATGACAAGGAATATGTCATAGTTTGAATGGAAAGCACATTGATTGTTTGCAATTTTTGAAGCATAAGTTACATGATATCAGTGCAGGGGCAATTCATCAATTGCATGACTTCCTTGTAAATAGTGTTGAAGCTTCCTGTGAACATTTATCATGGGCAATTATTTCCCTTTCATTGAAATGCATGAATCTTGATACTCATAGAAGATCCAATGTAGTTATCGTTAAACAGTTTTGTTCAAGTGAAAGCATTAATAAGTTTTTGGGGAAATTTTTGTTTGTCTCATTAATTTCTTCATTGATAAATGACTAGTGGGGCAGGTAGAAAAAACAAAATGACAGTATGTTTAGTGGAAAGAAAGGGAGTTCCTACCTATACTTTTAGAATTGCTGTATTGGTTAGATGTGGATAAAATAACTGCATTTTTGTTTTTTTTTCCACGATGGCAAAACCCAAATTTCATTACTTCATGGCAACAAAATTACAAGCATTGGTGGATAAAATAACTGCATTGTGGCTGCATTTTTTTTCTCTCCCAGTCAGTGCATGTCTGCCTTGAATTGAAGATGCATTTTGTATATGGTAGAGTTTGCATATGGTTCATCATCACACTTACTACTTTGACCAGATCTATCACAGTTATACACAATTTTACAATCTAACAAAATTGTTGTAAAGTCATCAGCTTGTGTAAGTCAGAATCACCTGTTTTTCATGAGTTTTACTCACTTCGTAATTAAAGCTGCTTCATTTATGACAATCTTCTCCCTAATTTTTTGTGGGAAGTTTAGACAGAAATTAACCCCAAATTAGTGACTACTAGTCAAGTAAGTTTTGAAGTACATGCTTATATTTACTTTCTCTACTTATAACAGAGTGCTGCTCTAGCTTTGGATGATTCAGTTTTGGATGCTGATCAGATTGAAAATCTCATAAAATTTTGCCCAACAAAAGAGGAGATGGAACTTCTAAAGGTTGTTTTTGAATTAATATCTAAATTTTCCACATTTGAACCATTTTCTTCCCTGAATCTTGCAAAAATAAGGTCAATTATTTTGCACATTTTTTCCATCAGAACTACAGTGGGGACAAGGAAGCTCTTGGAAAGTGTGAGCATGTAAGCATCCATATTTTGTTTTATAGATAAACCCCGATGTGATTCACATGTTTATATATATATTTTCTAAGGATACAAATGTGTACTGGAGCATTGCATAATTATTAAAAATCTTAACGTACCTGTTTTCCTTCAATTTACCTTGCTGCTGCCATCTGCAGTTCTTTCTAGAGTTAATGAAGGTGCCAAGGGTTGAATCTAAGCTTAAGATATTTGCTTTCAAGATTCAATTTCAGTCTCAGGTCATATGCTGGTAACTTTTTGGTATTTTGATCATTGAGATGTTCATGGCTTTGCACCATCCAACTTTCTTCTTTTCCTCTTAGATTAGGGATGTTAGAAAGAATTTGCAGACTGTGTCATCTGCTTGTGAGGAGGTACACATTTTCCTGAATTTTTATTTTTACATTTGGTATCCATGTTCATCATGAGAGAACTCATCACTGATATGCCATTCAGCTCAGAAGCTCTGAGAAGTTGAAGGTTATCATGAAGAACATTCTGTTAATTGGGAATACATTAAATCAAGGCACACCAAGAGGTAATGGACTTTCGCTTGTTGATGTTGTAAATATCTTTAAACTTTATTTTCTGCATGTATCTTCAGGCTCTGTTGGCCACTAAATAGGTTTAATTGCCAATACCTTATATTATCTTTTCTATTAGAAAGTAATATTCTTGCTGTTTCATTGCAGGCCAGGCTGTTGGTTTTCGCTTGGACAGCCTCCTAAAACTTATAGAGACCCGTGCCACTAGTGGTAGAATGACATTAATGCACTTTCTATGTAAGGTATGTAGAGAACTGAAATCCAAAATTTGAATAACAGAAAAGTAGCATGCATTTAAAAGATAATGTTCACATGGACCTTTTGTATCTTTTCTATACATCCATGTGTTGCAAATGAGCCTAGGATGGTTGAGGGTGTGGATGTAAGCCTAGACCACCCAAGTTTGAGTCCTCATTGATGCAAATTTGTGTGCCTATTTTCTTCTTCATATTAGAGAAGACCACCCTAGTTCCTGCTAGGTTGGCCTAGTTTTTTGGTTTTATTTTCCTGGTCATGCATGTGTTGAGCCATGTTCCATAACAAAACAAAGACACTGGATTTATGATCTTCCCTACCTTGCTTGTACAACTACACATGCATCCTCCATTCCCAAATTCTTCTAAAGGTGAAAGAGGCAGTTTTGACATTACAAAATTGGACGTAACACCCAAGGGGTGTTGTTAATTAGGAAACTGAAAGTAGTGGCAAAAACAAGATGGAAGGTAAAAGAGGAGTTGTGAATCAAAAGATGCATTTTAGTGATCAAAAAGACCATATTAGAAGTAGAAAATGAAACTGTTAGTTTTTGTTTTAGTGTTTTTTTTTTGCCATTTCATATTGACTGGTATATTTCATATTCTGAGATAACTGTTTCCATATTTAAAGTTGAGCTTTTTGCAGAATCTTTTATTGCATCATCTCTTATGTAACCTAAATTTTGGATTCTTTATGATCAGTGATACCATTTTCCTATGGTAACACCTTAGCGGATGGTAGCATGGGATATGTTCTCATTATGATGGGAACATATCTTGTCAATGACTGCTTATTTCTCATCGGTACAGTTTTCTTCAGAACTTAATGACTGGTTTAAATGTACTTCAGTCCCTTGCAGAGAAGTCACCGGAAGTAATGGATTTTCATGAGGATCTTGTCAACTTGGAAGCTTCTTCAAAGGTAATTTGCTTCTCTGACTAATATGGATAACCTCAACTGACAGAATTTGTTAAATATTCTGGAGTTACTGTAAACAGTTGCAACTGAAAGCATTGGCGGAGGAGCAGCTGGCAGTCGTAAAGGGGCTGGAGAAAGTTGAACAGGAGCTAACTGCTTCAGAAAGTGATGGGCCGGTTTCTGATGTTTTCCGTAAGGTATTTTCACAACTTTTTGTGCTGTTTAGAGTTCCTTCTCTATTTGAAATGTTCCTGGTGGCCAGTATTTTGTAGTTTTGGTTGTGTCATCATGTGGAATCCTTAATGTTCGCTTAAAAGATTGAGCCTTTGATTAGTTATCTACTCGTTCAATGCAATGTAGACTTTGAAGGAGTTCATTGATTGTTCCAGTGCTGATGTACGCTCCCTATCTTCATTCTATTCTGAAGTAGTAAGTCATTTGTCGTCATCCATGCTTCCATTATGAACACTTTGTGCTTTACATTTGCCCCTTTTAACTTATTCACTGCTTACAGGGTAAAAGCGCAGATGCACTTGCTCTTTATTTTGGAGAAGACCCTGCAAAATTTCCTTTTGAGCAAGGTAATATTCATGCCAATAGATCCATGGAAATGGTTTACCTTAGGTGCGAAAGGATATTTTTCATGGATGGAAATGGTTTTCTTCCATTTTTAACTGCATCCATGGAAATGGTTTTTATTCCATTTACTATGGGGTAAAGCTGTGATCCAGATAAAAAAAGGGCGTACCCAGTGCAGAGAGCTCCCGCTCTGTGCGGGGTCTGGGGAAGGGTGTTAGTAGCAAGCCTTACCCTCGCCTGTGCAATGCGAGACCGCGACTCGAACCCGGGACCTTCCGGTCACAGGCGGTAAGACTCTACCGCTTGCACCAGGCCCGCCCTTCAAAGCTGTGATCCAGATAACATGCTTTTTATCATTGACACTTCTGGATTCCAGTACGAGGAGCATAGTTTATATGGATTTGTTTAGGCTGGGTTAAAGCGGTGACAGTAGCCTGCACCTCCTTTCAGATTGTTTTATGCATCAACACACTTCTGTTAAAAAAAAACTACATTGACACTTGAACTGGAAGTCAGCGTTCCAGAAATTGCTTCAGAGACTTTAGTATTCCTAGCATACAATTCAGGCTAAGCATCTTGCTGGGCTGGGATGGGCGATCAGCACATCTGATGCAGGGGTGGCTCGCACTAGACTGTAATCACAGTGCTAGGCTTATCCAGTTGCTCTTGTTGACAGTATAAGCTCCTGATGTACTCTCTCGTCGAGTGTGTGCCAATTCTGCCCATGTTGTAAGCTTTAAAATATATTTGTTCTTAAAAGACATGCAGCTCTCCTGCGTATTCTCTAAAAAAAGCCCTAGCCAGCAGAAGGCGTGACATTTAATCCCAGCTGGATTGTTGTCGATATTGTCCAAGCTGCTCCAATAGACAAGTCTGTGGTGATTTGAGCTTGTTCCCAGTTCCCACCATACAAAGTCATACATTTCATAGTGACCGGGAACCAGGCTCTTTGCAGCCTTATGAACACTGGTTGGGACCACCATTTACATAAGCCTGTGATCTACTCTTGTCTGACTTCCTTCTGTGCTGCACCAATACTCAAGCCTGGTCTTTATTAGTCTCTTGTAGTTTTTTTTTTCATCGGTGGTTTTGCTTTGCCACATCCTCTATTTTAGACAGTCAATATGGCAAATAGATATCTGTGAAACGAGTTGTATGTCCCAACGAGTTGTCAATGTGATGTGGGTGTTGTTGAGTTGTACAGCACTGGCAGAGTTGTGGTTGCGAAAGGGTTTTTTTCAGGTTTTTCTCTCCCCCAAAAAAAAACCGTGTCTTAGTTATGACATTGTACCATAGTTATTTGGAGGAAGTGTAGTGCACCCCTTAGTTGTAAGGTTTTTGTTTCCGGTGGGCCAATTCTCTTTGTCTGATAATACCACAGTGAAGCAAAAGCTTTCCGTCCTTTCAATAAAAAAATGTGAACTACATCAGTTGTTTTATGTGATTTTCTACTTGCTTTAGCTTCGATCCATTCTTTCTTTTCCTTTTTCTAAATGCATTAGCAGTGTACTGCTTGGGTTTCCTGAGCTACAAACAAATCTGTGGTTTTACAATCCTTATTAGTTCTAACTAATCTTTAAAACATTTGCAGTTGCTACAACTCTTCTGACCTTTGTGGGGTTGTTTGGAAAGCTCATGATGAGAACCTCAAGCAAATTGAGGCTGAGAAGAAGAAAGCCCAGAAAGAAGCTGAAAAAGAGGCAAACCAGGACAAAACTCCTGTAAAATCAAAAAATGGGAATGCAGATAAATCACCAAGATCACCATCAACCTTCAAATGATATACGGCAAAAGTTCACATGGTCATCATTTCTTCCTCAACGAATGCCCGCCTTTGCTGGCCTGGGCACAATTTCGCAAGCATCAATAGTATACAAATCCATAAATTCCTTGTGGACAACTCATGCTTACAAGACAAGGTAACAAATAGTCTCTTTCATATATGTGTAATGTTCTGTTCTAACAGGTGAAATATGTATACTTGTCAGTACCACCCTAACACATAGTCACTTCCCTTTTTCCAGATGCTTTTGGTTCAACGTCCATGCCTGTATCTTATGACACTGTACAAAGCTCACCCCACACAAAGTTAGGTTCTTCTGTACAAAATCCATACTAGATCTTTCTCTTTTTTTCCCCTTCTGTTTATACTAGCAGCAGGAGTAGGTCAGTGCTTGTAAACTAGAAATAGGAGTGTAGGCAGTGATCAGTAGAAGGTCAGAAGCAATAGAAAAGGATTAGTGCTACCACAGGCAGGTTTCTAACCAGGGTAAAGTTGAGTATATAGCCATGTTCTTTGACTAATTGACTACAGCAAAGTGTTTGTGCATGACGCCTGTCACAAGTGTCTAGAGATCAACTAATACTCGGTCAAAATGTGAACTTCAGTGTTCCGCCTCATGACTTGTCAAGAAAAAAGGGTCACCTCTTGCTTATTTGCATTGCTTTGCATTCTCATTTCTTTCGCACCTTCTCCTATAATCGATGTTACGGATTTCATGACACTAGTTTCTGTTGTAGAGAAATAGAAAACAGTGCCACGAGGACTGTAATGATGTATAACTCCATACATATGACGGTCTATTTCTGTTTAGAATCAGAAATGAAAAGGAAAATTTGGCTGATATCTTGTACAGAAGGAAATACTTTCAACTCTCCAATATCAAAAAGAGGGTTTTCTTCAGGCTCTCTGATCTTAGTAATTCTATATTTTGCATGAGTGAGAATTAGGCGTGGTTAGAAAACCTCTGCAGCTGTGACACAACATTTGTATTAAAATTAGGCAAAAACAGGATGATCATACATGTGCAGAAATGCATACATATATTGCTTGTGGAGAAATTCTAACTTGTGAGTGTGTTACAAACAATCCCGATTGAATTTGTCGGTGTGTAGTTTGTTGACAGGCGCGTGTTTGATATTCGTCAACCAACTAAAGTACAACGTTGACATACGCTGGAAAAAATAAGTTGTCATGTGCAAGGAAACAAATTTCTGTTTTATAATCATGACTCTAAATGAACTTAAAGCTTCCCGAATGAAGTGAAACATTGATTTGTTTAACAGCTCAGGAGCAGATAGGCGTGGCTCTGGCTGGCAAGTATGGCTCGGTGAGTGGTGACCTCTCAGGAGTCAGGTCTTCTTAGTTTCAGGTTTCCAAGTTCTGTGGGCAAGCCTAATGAATTTGACAACAAGGTCAGATTCACTACAAACTGCAAATCGATTCGTATAATACATAAATAACTGATAACTCAATGGAAGGAAAACCGAGAGATAGCATTGGCGGCTGTAGGTTGAATGCGAGTTACGGCATTTGGTGAATGGCTCCTTGAGTGTTGCCGGCTATATGGTGCTGGGCACTGCATTTGCGATTGTGCTCCTTGAGGGTTTTGGTGCCATTGTTGGAGAGGCTCCCCTTTTTGGAGTCCCATTTACCAGTCTGGTACGCCATGTTGCAGTCATGGCAGATTGCCAAGGTGAGCATCACCTTCCTATCAGGCCCGAGTACTTTTATCGGCGTGAAGTCTTCCCAAACACCGGCTCGCTTTCCATTAGGTCCATTCGCTTGACATTTGCTGTACATTTCATCGAGCTCGTAATAATCTGAGGGGAAAAATGAAAACAAACGATGAATTGGAAGGAAAAGGAAGAAGGAGTTCACCGATCGAAGAGTGTAGAACTCATTAATTGTAGGTTCCTTAATTGAACAGTACAACTAATTGAACCATTCATCATACTTACCCTTGAATGACTCAGGGTTCTTCATCAAGCCTTCGAGTTGCTGCATGAGAGAATCCACTTCGAGGTCTCATAGGAACATACAGGTCCCAGAAAAAAAAATTATACCAACGCAACAGGAAGGCACCAGGGCACATCGAAATCCATATGGCCGTGCATATATGTGCACAGTGCAACTACAGTTTTCTGAACGATCCTGGAATGGCTGTGTTGGTTATGCACGGCTTCCATTAGTCATCTATGTCACTCATCAATCCACTCTTGGAACTGCAGCTGGTTAATCCTGATTCAAAGCGAAGCAGGGAGACCTTAGAATCAACCAGGAACCATGAAGCTTTGCCTAGCAATTTCTGATCGGTTACCTACCAGGACGGTACAGATGAGGACGCCTCTGGAATTTCTAGGGAGGAAGAGGGATCATCCACAGGAACAGAGAAGGTGGGCTGTCCGAGCAGAGGTGCCCAAGAACTTGAACAATCAAATTTGCGCTTCTTCAAATTGGTTGCCCTGTCATCCCCAGGTTCATAGGTCGGGTCCTGTGATGCAGGAAGAGGAAGGCCGACATTGTTAGAGAGAATATGATTAGGAGAGAAGGAAGAAGAAGATTTTGAGTTGGCAAGCAACCTCATTGCCCGGACCATACAGGGTAGAATCCCAGAATTCTTGTGGAGGTGGAATAATCTCATCTCCTGGAGACTCCGGCATGGGTGCCTTGCCTTTATCATCTGCACCATTCTCTAAAATACCATATGTTCATTAAATATCTTCTGGGACTAACAAAGATATTTTGTTACATATATCTAGTCAAATTGTAAAAAGTACACAGAAGAACTCAAATCAGCATGTCACTGATATAACTGAGACAGGATTTAGCTTTTATTTTTCTGAAGAGAAAGAAACACATATACAGAATCAATTTTTGGTGTTGCTTGCTTCAGACCTTCAGAACAAGTCAAAGTACTGTAATCAGGATCTAACCTAAATCTAAGTTACATGGAATTTATTACCATGGTATAATCATTAACAATGCATCATTTCACACATCAATGTAAATACATCTAGTATAAGTTATGAGAATCCATGTATTAAATGATTAAATCAGCAAGAAAAACGTTTATCCTTTACACAGTTAGCAAAAAACATAAAGGTGAAGATGCAAATGCAAAACAACATAGATGCATCCATCAGCTGCTTGCCCAGTCTACTCTCTACAATCGAGGAATGAATCATCACTATAAAATGCATAGGCACAACTAACGTAGTGATGTATAGCTGAATATGAACAAAATATAGTGCCTCCTATAATCTTACTGGAACCTGAATATTTCAGCAATAAACACATGATAGCACATAAAAGCAAAAATTAGATCCGTGTATGATAGTGGTACCTTGACGGTGGGAATTTTGATACATATTCTTCACATAGATCAATAGCATAGCAATCTTCCGCTTATAACTATCCTGAGAAATACAGAAGAAAATGTTATGAGTTGTGTGACACAAACGGTGGGACTTAAACCTTGTCTGATGCTTTTTTATCCAAGGTAAATGACTGTATAGTATTATATGTTCTAGCTTGCTTGGCAAAAGCATAGGCCTTGTTGTTGTATAATACTGTACGGAGTATACCCATGATAGGCTTGTTTACGCCATTCCTTTCTGACAGAAGGTTTCCTCAGGTAATATATGACTTATACAAACATGAGTGGCAGAAAATGGACTGAGTAAGTCAAGGTATATACTCCCTCTATTCCAATTATAAGACGTTTTGGCTTTTCTAAATACATAGTTTTTGCTATGTAGTTAGATATACACTATGTCTAGATACGAAGTAAAAGCAATGTATCTAGAAAAATCAAAACGTCTTATAATTTGGAATGGAGGGAGTATACAAATAACATTGACATGACCATTGACACAAATTAGATATCCATGCATAGTTGTAACACAATAACAAACAAAAAACGATAGCTAAGATTTATGAAGATGCGACTAGCAGTTCAAAAGTTAAGCTAAAAAGCTTTCCACATTGTTTACAGAATCACAGACCACTTGTTCCCTAAGGGTGTGTTTGGTTCCCTGGCTTAGCCCCTAGCCAGGCTTGCATAATGCAACTTGGGCCTTTTTGGTTCCTGTAAAGCCTGCTAGCCAGGCTTGCACAAGCCCAATCTGTATGGATTCGGAGGCTTCCTGGGAACGACCAATCCCCTCGTTCTATCCTAGCCTGGATCCGTCTGAGAAATTGGCTATTATAGGACTCCAAACGTTGGGTTTCTCTATAATAAGACTTCTAACGTTTGTTTCTCCGAAATAGGACTCCAAACAATTACAATAAGCTATAATGACATTTTGATACATTTAACCATTTTTCTTATCTCCCAAATACATGTATTTTCTGATAATGACCGTATTGTTCTTCAGACATACACCAATCCATCATCTCCTCGTACAACACGTGGTCTCTTCGCTCACTGCTTAGCGCGCCTTCACTCATCGACGCCGCGCGCCTTCACTCCTCCACGCCGCCGCCTTTCACTCCTCCACCCCTCCCACGCCCGCCTCCATGGATGGAGGAGAACCGCCGCCACCGATGATCCCTGCTGCTCATCTTCTTGGACGCAGGAGGACAAGACGTGGAAGCCCCTAGCCCTAGCCGCCTGGTGGCACGGTGGCATGGAGGTCTGCCACGGCCCTCCTGCTGCTGGTGGCCGGGCGGCCACGCCTCTGAGGAGGTCTCAGACGCGGCCGATGATGGGCAAGAATCGTCGCCGGGCGCCTAGGGCTGGCAGCCGGAGGGCGCTGGACGGCCGCCAACGCCGCCAAGGTGGAGATGGCCAAGTGTGCTGCCCATAGATGCCGTTGCCCATGCAAGGTCCTTTGCTTCCTCTTGTTTGTCATCCGCAATAGAGTACAACCTGCCTGTTCTTGAAGTGGAAAGGTATAAAATCGATGCACTTGATCTCTTATTTCATACCAGAGAGATCATACCAAGTAGTAAATATTGGAGATAGTACAAGTAGTAGATCATACCACTTCCTGTCTATGAAAGAAAAAAAACGCTGCTGATTTGTTTGGTTGGACTTTAATAGTGGTAGATCATACCAAGACAGAAGAGTAGATCATACCACTTCTGTCTTTTTTTTCGGTTCGAAGAGAAGACAGAGTAAAAGTAGGTTTCTCTTGTTTATAGGTCTCAAGTAAATGATGTGGAAAATATGGAAAGAGTTGATTGGACAACATTACAAATTGTGGAGACACGTGATGATGAGGGACGAATTGAACTTATGAGCGAGAGTCAAATGTGCGAGCTTTTAGGCTTGGCAGATGAGGGCACATCAAATATACCTACACAAGGATTTGATCGTCGAATGGATGAACAAGGCAATGATAATGAGCTTGGTGAAGATGTTGATGGTGCTGCCATTCCTACTAGTGATGTTGTACCGGGTGAGATTGTCATTTCATATGATAAGAACAACCCATCATTGGAGGTTGGGACACAGTACCCAACAATGGAAGAGTTCAAGTTGGCGGTGCGGACATATGCCATCAAGAAGGAGTTCCATTTAAAGAAAGCTATAGGTGATCTTCCACTCCTTGCTGTTTGTTCCGATGCTTGCAAGGGCTTGGAGAATGCAGTGAAGAATGTATTCCCCAATGCAGAGCAAAGGGAATGCTTTTATCATATGGTTAGAAACTTCAAGAAGAGATTTAGAGGGTTTGGCCAAATATATCCTGCTGCAAGAGCTTACACAGAGGAGATTTTCTATGATAATATAGCAAAAATGATAAGTGAATCAATTTTGCATCGGTGCAATGGTTACTGAGCCAATCATAAGCTATTATAGTGCATGTGTGTGGTTTCAATCCGAAATTAAGTGTGACTATATAACTAGTAACATTCTTTGAGACATTTAATAACCGGATTAGAGACCATAAGGACTTACCGGTTCTTGACCTTGCCGATAAGATCGGAGAAATGATCATGGTACTGTGGAACAAGAGAAGACTTATTGCATACAGGCTACCTGAAGGTAGGATACTCCCATCTATTATGGTTCAGCTAAGGGCAAACACTAGAGGTTTGGGGCACTTGAAAATTGTACCATGTTCTAATTGGAGTGCAGAGGTGTGGGACCATAGCGGCGCCGTTTCTGTGAGGCATATTGTCAAGCTAGGCCAAAGAACATGTACTTGTCTAGAATGGCAAAGACACTTTGGTAAGCCATGTCAACATGTCTTTGGCCTATGCAACCCGCCAAAGAGGAGTGGATCTAGAACAGTTTGTGCATGACTACTACTCAGTGAGTAGATTCAGGGCTGCTTATGGTAGAGAGATTGAGCCAATGACAGATAAAACACAGTGGCCACATGTTGACCTACCATTTGGCGTTGGTGCACCTCTAGCTAAATTATCTGTTGGAAGAATGAGGAAACTAAGAATCAAGGGATGGGATGAAGGTGGACACAGGAAGAAAGAAAAATCTACCAATGAGGTTGAAGGTGAGAAGGGATGGGATGAGGGTGAAGGTGATAATGATACTGTTCCAACAAATGCAAAGGGACAGAAGATGATCAGAGGACCTATGACTTGCAAAAGATGCGGAGAAAAAGGCCACAGACAAGCTAGTTCCAAGTGCCCATATAATGGGACCGCAAAAAAGAGGTAATTGATGATTTTCTTTATCAACAAGCTAGTTCCAAGTGCCCATATAATGTGAATATTAACTTATTTCAGCACTTGTAGGAAGCGTAGGCAACCTAGGAAGAATGTCACAAAAGAAGGACCGGCGGAACCTAGCACCCCACGGAGGCCAACAAGGGATGAAATTCTACGAGATAGTCCAAGAAGGGTCACTAGAAGGTAAGAAATATTAACATATTTACTGTACAGAATAATTGTTTTATATATACATCTAATTGCCGATCGTATTTATATGCAGCAAGCTAGCGATGTTACTTGGAGAGGGCACATCTTCACAAACTGACAACGCTAGTCCCGTGAGGATGCCTACCCCGGTGCCACCAAAAAAGATGACTCCAAAAAGGAGAAAGCTAAACATTTGATGATGGAGCATTTTAGTTGTGATGAGATGTTACCTCATGATTTATTTCATATGCCATTGATTTCGTTTGAAACTACATTATGGTCTTCTGAGATGAACTTGTTTATGCTACAAATATGGTTTTATAAGATGAACTCGTTGCTAAATTCTTGCCGTTATATATTACTTGTAATTGTGTATGAATCAATTCTTGTTATATATTACTTGGAACCTTGTTATATATTACTTGGAACTGTACATATATTACTTGTAACTGTACATGGCTTGCCACGGCCAGCAAGCCAAGGCAGTTTTGGCCAGCCAGCCAGCCACGGCCACAGCCAGCCAGCCACGGCCAGCCAGCCAAGGCACCTGCGGCCAGCCAGCAAAGGCCATGGCCAGCCAGCCAAGGCAGCGCCCAGCCAAGGCCAAGGGCCGTCGGAAGCTAGCAGCGACTTTTTTTTTCAAAACGACAAAACAATCACCTTCAAAACACTGAAGGGTAAAACGGTCACGTTGGGAACAAATATATGTATTTAGATGTTAAAAGAGATTAAAATGGTCCAAAATATTATTAGAGCTTATTGTAATTGTTTGGAGTCCTATTTCGGAGAAACAAATGTTAGGCTTATTACAGAGAAACCCAACGTTATAATAGCC